CGGAACCGAAGCGCACCATCGCCTTCATTGTTTGACGTTGACGTGAAGGGCATTCAGAGGGACCGTGACCTTAGGTCGTCCGTTAGGCGCCCGTCGATCGCCGCCGTCGATAAAGCACTGATTTTCCTCGTCCGCCGGCATGGAGTGCGACCCTGATCGATACTTAAGCTTGTAGAACAGGAAGACGATGCCGCCGACGATTCCCATCACCACCAGGACGAACGTCAGGATACGCAGATGATTGATGTATTCGGTGAGATTGTGCATGTCCTCCGCCATACTGAACAGCTGCGGCAGCTGTCGTATGATCTGGTCAAAGCTAAAGCCCCCCTGACCACTGGAAGGCACATTTCCGCTGGCCATAGTCACACGGTCTCTGATCGGTCACTTGGCCGAGGGCGAGGACGACAGTGACGACTAAGTAAGACGCACGCACACACGCAGCCGAACGGAACGAACCTTTCCCGCTGCACTCGGCACATAAACAAAATACGGTCGACGGCAATTCATCATCGACGTGCCAGCCTTCGCCTTCGTCGGCGCCAACCGCATTCTTACCACTAGGGGGCGCCTACGCCGTCGGCGTCGAATTGACACAAAGGCCTACACAGCCCCCTCCAATAGCATACAGCTTTACCGGGGCGGCGGCAACCTTGAATGAACAAGTTTTCGTCTTTTTCGAAACTTGAAACATTCTGGCTGATTGGAAGTCAAAGTCCACTTTTTAGATACGGTTATAATACGTCTAAATTTCAAGCTTATTTCGGAAAGTCGGTCAAGTCATGCTAAAATCAAACTTACATCCTGCAACTGTGGTTCAGGTTAGAAAGCGTCTATCAAAGTAAAGTAAGTAATTACTGTTAGTATGTTCCTCAATGGGAGACCATTATATCGTAAGCGGTAATCATGAATGTATTCAGTCTAGTGTTGCAAGGCCAACCAACTACCGTTACGTAATAATGGCTACCTCTAAATTTTATTACCGTTATGCACCATCCATAAGATTGACAGTACGATGACATGAGTTTCCCGTAGCTTAACTGTGGATTTTTACGGACGGTGGCCACGATCATTCCTTCCAGGTTTGCAGCCGGCATTTTCTACTATATAGATCTGTTTTGAAGGGATATAAATTTCAGAAAACTCTTATTACTATAATCTCGTTAAACGACCGTTTCTGCACTCAAAAATATCTGAGTGGTTATGTTGTATCACAGCATTGTGCGTTCCAGCATACCTCACCATGAAATGGGATCCAATACGTTGGTTACTGTCCGTTGTCTGCAACGGGAACGCAGAGGAGAAGGAAAATTTGCAACTGACTTCCTTACACTTTCATAATGCGGCTGTTTCTAACCACTGTCTTTTCATGAAATTAATGGAGGAGCTTTGATCTTCATTTTTATTCGATCAGTTAGAGTCGACAGCAGCTACGTAGCAAGCGTCGTTCATGGTTTGCTGTTTTTCTCACATAATGGCATTCATTTATCAACCTCGATGGAAGAAAGAGGAGTGAATTAGCGGGGCTAAAACCGGCATCCCTCAGTTTTGAACTCGACGCACTCTAAAAATGGAGCAACCTCGGTCTGAAGAAAAGTATTGCGAATTTTTGGAATGGATGAATGGATTGCCGAGATTGATTGGCGAAGAGCATTCACTGCCCAAAAGTCACGCATTATAGCCAATGCTAAGTGGTTCTTTCAGGGAATCTTGTGAAAAGAACTAGTAGTTCTTCTGATTCCATAGTTGGCAGCAAGGAAACGAGAAACGCTTTTTCTACAATTGTCCATTGAATTGGCATCGGCCATCGTTAAAGGATAATTTCTTGATGCCAACCATGGAATCAAAACAGTTGTGACCTCACCTCATCCACAGCACAATGTCAGTATGGACCTTAGAGACTGTTTATTTCTGTAAATAAATCTAGATTATGCAGAAGTTGCGAAAGCTGATTTGGTAAGAATCAGAAAAGGACCATGTCATTGCCTTCGTATCAGACTCTAAATCTAGATTCTACTTCATCTTGATCCGCAGTTTGAGACACAGAGATGACGTTAGCGTTGAACAATTTGTTACAATCTGGCTCATAATATAATCAAATAATCAATAAACATTAATATTAAATAACAGTTTTCAGTCTGCTAGCAAATCCATAATAACAGGCATCGTTTTTGCTACAGTGATAAATTACTTTCACATTTGCTGTATTATTACTATTCGTTGTGCACCTATTGATGCGTGGGATTGCACCGTAACGAAGGGCGCCATAAATTAAACATTAATATTATTTTTATGTTTCACTCCACGAACCGAGAAAAAGAGAGGATTATTTACTAGGCACGTGGTCGAAAAAATTTTCAGGAATAAGTTAAGCATCAAATTATTTACTGATTTCTGCTCGGTATGGAAAAGAAAGAAATGACAGCATTCTAAGTCCGTGTTGTAGCAACTTAAAATACTAGGTAATACTGTTAACCTCACGAACATCAGTGCATTCAATAACACAAAAGCACCA